ATATATATATATTTCCGATAAATTTTGCTTATTATTAATTTAAATGATAATTTTTATTAAAAGTAATTATTGAAATAGTAAATATTATTATTTCTTAATATTTTATCTCAGTCATTGTCATATTCTTTTCAATGATTTTACTCATTTATAATTACATTCAAATTTTTTTAACCATATATTTTTTTATTGCTCATTTCTCATCGCCATCCTCTAATCCGTGTCATTACTGTTGCCAAAAATAGAATAACATTGGATATGACTCATGCAGTAAAGCACATTTGGTTTATCAAAATCTATTCCAAGCCACAAATAGTACAATAAATACTGTTGAACAATTAAAGCAGTGAAAATATAGAATGTTCCTCTTGAACCTTTATTTTAGCCGTAGCATATATTAACTATCTCACACATAGTAGTAGAATAAACACTCTTGTTCATCTCAACTTAAAACTTTTCTATTAAGCTGGCCTAATGGCCTTTCACACACTGATATAAGAAACCAATTACAAACCTAGATATTATTTGTGCTATTTTTCAAACAAAATTAGAGTTTCATCTGCCTAATCTATATAATAAAAGTTTATATTATTAAAAGATATCATAGAGTATTAAAATGAAACTCTAATTTTAATTGAATAACAGTATCTTTAAAACTGTGTTTAAGTTTTATCCTTAATTCACATGTTTATTATTGAAATGCAACAAACACTCAAGGCCAATTCCAACATCAAGAGAAAGTAGTAGAAACACATCCTGAATAGAACGCGGTATCTTCTCTGAATTTTCAGTTGTGAACCAACATTTAACATTTGAAGTAACAGTCACAAGCCCTTTTCAAAATGTTACCATGACAGGCTCCATGATTTGCACCTTCCTTAGTCCTGCATTGCTTGTCACAGTTGTTGGAGCTGGCACACCACCCTGACCAAGTGTTGCTGCGTTTTGCACACAAACCAGGACAGTTGAAGTAGCAGAAACAAGCCCTTCCACGTGAGTCCCAGTGACATGCATCCAAACTTTGCACCTTCCCATTTCTTGCATTGCTTGTCACAGTGGTTAGAGTTCCCACACCACCCTGACCATGTTCTGCTGTACTTCTCGCATATCTTTTTTCCTCCACCATTGGTGCCTCTGCATAAATTGGAAACAAAAATAATAGACATTGTCAAGATCCTGTTAATCAAGATTAAGATATACTACAAATCAAGTTATTGAAATATTTGAGTTTAAGCTGGCCTATGACAAGCTAAGATTATGTAAATTTCTCATATAAGAGAATAAATCAAGATTTATCAGTCATGCATGGACGTGTAAAAAAAATTACACCGATCCGAAATTACTATTGTTAGAACAAATTTATCATCGTATATGTCATCGACTGACAATGTTAAGTGCTAAATAACTTATTTTTTCATCAATCAATAAAATGCATAATATATCATTAAAAAAATAAGTTATGTATGGAGAATATGTTACCATCTGATCACAAACAATAAGTATGATGAACTTGTTGATCTTTATAATAACTATTTTAAAAATTATACACTTCTTTTTCTGTCACATAAAAAGTGTTATCATAATTTATTTAACTTATAGAGACTAAGAAAATATAATAAATAAATAAATAATAACATGTTTATAAAATTATATTTATAATTAACTTTTTTTACTAAAAATGATACAACATAATAATCACTTTCTAAAAAAATATTATTATAAATATAAATAAAAAAATGTTAATTACTTTTATATTAAAAATTAAATTATGATAACACCTGTAAGACTTTTTATTTTCTTTTCCTCACACGACACTTATCATGATGGAATGAGAATAGTATTATTTGTGTCATTATTATATGTGTGAATACTATTGATGTGAGGACATGCATTTCCTAAGAGGGAGAGAGGGCTCGTCACATTGGAACTTGGAGTAGGTGAAGAGATTAGAATGTGAGCATTAATAAGAGGAAGGATAGAAAGGCTAATGAGGAGAATAAAGGTGGTGGCGAAGACAGCTAGATACTTAGCCATGAATGCTGCAGGTGTTGTGTGTTGTTATGATGGATCAAGTTTAGGGTATTTATAGCACAGTGTCGGCATGCGCCCCTGCTAACGGGTAATAGCCACCAGAACTTTCAAATGATTTTGCCTCTATTTGGCATGTCTATTATTTGCTGCTGAAGTTTATGGTTACTTTCCTGCTTACAAACTTTAATAGTAGCAGTAAGATTTAACAAAACAAAACTTGTTTAGTCTGGTAGGTGCAGGAGACCAACCATTTCCTCAATTCAGTTACATACTGCCTCGATGATTTTCTTTTAATTTATTTTGATCTTTCTTCTTAGCACAGTAATATTGATATTTCCAATGATTTCATGTTTAAGATAGAGATCTTACTCTAATCTTAACTAAAAACTCTAAAGTTTAAGTATAATAATTTACGACTTTTGGTAGTCTCAATAAATTTGAATTAGTGTTTAGAAGATTTTTTTTTAATTCATATCAATTATAATAAGGTCAACAAAATAGAAAATATATTACAATATAGTATATGATTAATATTATATATATATATATATATATATAATATGAGAGATCTACTTATTTTAAGAAAATTTTTGATATATATTTTTTTTAATAACTCATATTTTATATTATATTTTAACGATTTAATATAAAATCATAAGTTATTAATTTATAGGACAAGTCTATAAACTTTTATAAAATTTAAAAATGATTTAATACTTTTTTATTAATTTAAATTAATAGATAATATAAAAATATTTTATACGTTGAATTGATTCTATATAATGAATTATTTTTTAAAAATTTATATACTTGATATATATATTAAGAACTTTTTACTTAATTTAACTTAAATTTAGGACATTGATGCAAAATCAAAAAAGATAAGTTGTAACGACCCGCCATGGTCTCTACACTTAGTAGAATCGCACTACTACTAGTGATACAAGAGAAATATTAAGTTGGATAACTCATACATGCAAGTATAAATAAGAATGAAAATGACTAAGTTTCTGGTTATAAAATAAAACACCATATATATATACAGTCATCCCAAAAATAATATGACTCTAATGTCGGTCAAGCACAGACAAAATTGTTACCCAAAATGGTAACTCTAATACGAGGATCAAACTTCCTGCCTCGCAGCGGTCACCACAACTCCAAGCTAGCCCTGACCTACTCCCATACAAGGTATGATCATCGCAGTCCATCCACATGGAAACAGAAGGGTAAGCTAGAGTTCAAAAATCAATCATACAATTATAGAACAATAATCTATACTACACAATCATCCAACTATCAATCATATTCATAGAGTCACACCATACACTTTATCCAATACTACTCATGCAAAAAATACAATCCACCAATAATGATGTCAAACACCACACTTCATCATATTAATAATCATGCAATAAATGCATCTCATTACCGATATCAATGCATATCAATCATCTAATGCGTCATCACGCATACACCTAGGAGATCTCCCTAACAATAGAGTTGTATAAGTGACATTCCATCTTACCGAAACCACCCCAACCGTTTTCACGCCCAATGCGCACGCTCGGTCACAGCTAAACAGGATATAATCCTCACTCGGGTTTACTCGGACGATGTCACTTACACAATTGGAAGTCCAGATCCACCGTCAGGTATAGCACAGCTGGGTACGGGCTTACCACGACCTTGGCATGCATAACCAAGTCAATTGTGGAGTTCGTCCATCGACTATCCGCAAGGATCCATGCACCTTCCCGAGTACTTTGGTTAAGGGAATAACCATCGACCTCATACCTCGCTTCAACACTAGCTAAGGACTTAGAGGAGACTCACCCAACCCAGTGGCCTACCTGAGCACCACTCTCCCAAATCTAGTGGCCTACCTGAGCACCACTCTCATATACTCGACCTCATACCCCGCTCCAACACTAGCTAAGGACTTAGAGGAGACTCACCCAACCCAGTGGCCTACCTGAGCACCACTCTCCCAAATCTAGTGGCCTACCTGAGCACCACTCTCATATATCAGTGGCCTATCCAAGCACCACTCTCAAGAGACTCTATGTGAGCTCTTCCAGTTCAAAAATATTTTTCCTCTCCTCAAGTCCTAAGCTAGACACATGCCATAAGGCATCACATGCAGTTATGCATCACACATCATACATGGTCTGCCCACCATCATGATCAACAATCATACACATGTCATAAGACACCACATGCAATAATGTTTCATACATCATACATGGTCTACCCACCATCATGATCAATAAACATACTCATGCCATAAAGCATGACATACAATAATGCATCATACATCATACATGGTCTACCACCATTATGATCAATAAACATACCCATATGAACATATACACATGTCATATCATATTCAAACATTCATATATATATCATCACTATGCATACATATGAATCACACCTCAACATACATCATATATCATACATACATGATCCAAAACTTCAACTTAACATGCATTAGCATCATTTTATTCATACACATGTTCACGCCTGGCGTAGCCTGAGCTCGCCCAGCCTAATCCCAACCCGAGAGTCTTAAAACTCATCCACACCCGGCGCGTTCAACTCACGCTCGGTGTCCTTGAGACAGAGATTCCTAAGAGTCTCCACGCCTGACGCAACCAAATCACGCCTAGCCCAACATCCAACCCAAGAGCCCTAAGCTCTTCTACGCCTGGCGCGCTCAACCTGCACCTAGCCTAATCCCAGTCATAGAGTTTCAAAACTCTCATCCAACCAACAAATCCAGCCATATGCAAACACAAAACACAATGCATAGGCTCCATACAACTCAAAATAAACTTAAATCTCACATGCATTCAATCTATGCATCAAAATCATCAAAATCCTCCTTTTTCTCAAAACCCCAAAAAATAAGATTTTCTTCAATCCATCTATGGATTTTCAACATCCATGCATCAATTGAGTTTCTAAACTCACATGCAACTTAAACAAAAAATATTATAACTTCCTTCACCTGAAGATTGGCTCAAAATAGCCAATAACTGAGAAAAAGTAAAATTCCCTTCCGAAGCTCAACCCGGAACTTCAATCCTCCCAAAGCAAGCTTCCTAATATGAATTTCAAGAAAAGACATAAGGCATTAGTGATCTAGAGGAGAAAGGGAATCATACAGAGAAATTTAGGAGAGAAAGGAGCTCACAAACCCAGAGTCATTCTCTCTAAAAATCTCATTTTCTCTTCAACCACCAACCCCTATTTATAAAAGTTTTGGAGTGGCTAGAATGGCTTGTTCCGAATCCGGAACGGCCCATTCTGCACCCTTTCATCATGTGCAAAAATCACATACAGAACGGCCCGTTCTGAAATTAGAACGGCCCGTTCTGGAACTCATCCAGAACGGTCCGTTCTCCATCTAGAACAACTCGTTTTGGGGTTTGGAACGGCCCGTTCTCCCTCAAGAACGACCCATTCTCAACCACATTTTATAGGTCAATTCAGTAATTTGGAACGGCCCGTTCCAGTTTGGGAATGACCCGTTCTGGGCTACTGAATCACCCACACTAGACTTTTGGGCCTTCTAAAACAACTTACTACGTTACATAAGTTATGTAATAAGAGTCATTTTTTATTTTTTTAATGTAATATTAATTGTTATTATTTTCATTTTTACTTTTAATTATTTTAAGTTATATGACTTTTCCTAAATTAAATGTTTCCTTTAATTTATTATTCTTTAATTTTTGTTAATAGTATATCGAACTAAATATATTTTTTCATATAAAAATTAAAACTTTAAAATTATTATAATTTTAATCAATCATAATTTGAATATAAATTTAAATTTTAAATTTTCACATATCGTATCTAGGGATGGCAAAAATACTCGTACCCGCGGGTATCTGTGGGTAAAATCCGCTACGGATAATAAATGGATAGACTAATTGGATACCCGCAGATAATGGGGATGGATAATTTTTTATCCGTTTATAAATGGGGCGGGGGCGGGTATGATGATATCCATACCCGCGGATACCCGTTTAATAATATTTCTTAAAATATCCTAATTATCCTTGTACCACATAACCCTAAAATTACACTCTCTCTTCTTATTTTCTTACAAAAGTGAAGTTGATGAAGTTACCAACATGTGTTAAGCATGTTATAGAATTACGTTGGATGTAATTTGATTAATTTTCTAGCTTTGAATGAACTAATAAATTTTGATGTATTTTAAGTTGTTTACTTTCGTTTGAAATTATGAGATTGAATTATTGTAACTTTGTGATGAGACTTTAACTTACTTGTGAGATTGATGTATTTTAAATTATTGATTATCTTGCAGTTTTATTATTATTTCAACAAAATTAACGTTAAATACAAGTTTAAAATTAACATTAATTTTTTATTTTTTAATATTTCAATGACATTAAATATAAACTTAAAATTATTTATAATATAATTTTTTTAATTTCTTACAAAATTTATAAATATCCATGGATATCCAAGGATATCTGTGAGTATTCAAGAAATTCATGGATACCTGCTTAATGGATATTCGCGCGGATTGGGATGGGTACGGGCCAATTTTCATCTAGCGGGGCGGGGGCGGAAGCGGGTTTACTGTTACTCATCCCCATGGAGCCCCATTGTCATCCCTAATCGTATCAAATATCAATCAAGATGATGCCTTGATTTTAATAATTTATTTTCATAATTTAGAAAACAAAATTTAAAATCTTCTCTTTTTAATTTATTTATAATTAATACAATAAAATATTAACTATTAATAAAATATATACTATTATCTTTAATATTTTATTTAAATTTAAAAATATTTGCAGAATGAACAAAAACTTCTAGTTATTATAAATGTTGTAATCAAGTTTTCTTGTAATCACGATTTTCAGAATTATTTTTCATATGTAACATTTTTTTTAAGAGTCATATGTAACAGATTAAAAAGTAGCCATATAGAGTGTCTAAATTCCTTTTTTGTAGTTGACTTTGATGAATTAACATTTAAGAGAAAATTGTTGTGATAAAAACATTTTAGTAGAGAAAATGTATAATTCAAAATTCAAATTCGATACCAGATTGAATGGAATAATTTCAAGACAATTAATTTACGCCATCGGCAATTATTATTATGATAAAACAATTTCTTTAACAAAATTATTCTCATTAAATATAAACTAGTTAAAATATAATAGTGAATTTATTTAAGTATTTAAGTGAGATTCTGATAAATGAAGGCATTGTTGAAAAAAAATGTACTTTTTCTATTTTTTTTTCATAGTCATTTTGAATTTTGACACTATTTTTCTTTTGTTATTTTTTGATTGTTATTTTTTTTAAATAAATGATTTATTAATTTTTTTTATTTTTATTTTTAATAATTAATATGTGTTTACTGAACAATATATTTAATGTATCTAATTTTTTTCAATTACTTAAAAGATATAATAAAAAAATAAATAATAAATAATTTAAAATATTAAAATGTTAATTATTTTCTTAATTTTTATGTATAAATCTTAAACGTAAAAAAAAAATTAAAAAATCGGAGGGTTAATATAATAAATCTGTTAGCTCCGGTCATTAAATAGCATTTATGTATCTTAACAGGCCCTAGGTACCGTAGTAGGTAAGAGGCAGAGCAGACATTTCAACCGGAATCTGTTTTAATGAGAGAACGGATAATAAGGTACTTCTAAATATTTTTAATTATAAATAAAGTAATTTATTTTATTTTATTTCTAAGTTAAATATCTGTTATAATTATTTCTCTTTAATATGAATATATATTACAAAATTATTTTTAATATAAATACATGTTTTAAAGTTGTTTTTTTATTTTTTTATTTTTTATTTTTTTATTTAAATTTTTATATTTTATCAAATATCCATAGATACTCATAAATATATATAAATAAATAAATAAATAAATAAAAATTCATGAATACTTACTAAATAAATACCCAACAACCAGGTGGTGGGAGGCTACGACATGCGCCTGGCATGTTAGTTATAAATAATATTCTTTGCGTATTGTCAATACTCTTGTGCAATGGTTGGTTTCTTTTCTCTGTTCAACACCTTTAGTATATGTATTAGTCATCTTGCTCTGTATCCAACGGTGTAAAAGTGATTGAAAATTCATAATCTTCAAATGCCATTACACATATTGATAGTAATCTTTGAAGCCAACACATACATTATGAATTATGTCTCATTCATTATACATTTCATACTAATGAAAAATAAAATCCCTAGTTTGAAACCCACACAAATAATCTTAGGAGTTGGATACCATTCTATCAAACAAATGAAACTTGAAGATATCTATGGAAGAATGGAATTATTCTATTCAGTTAATTATGAGTTGAATCATAAAATAACAATCTCGATGAATGACAAAGACTATCTAAAATAAAGGGGAATGCTACCACCTTATAACCAATCAACATGTCTAAGCAAAACGTAAATAATATCTGAAAGTATTAAATCCTGTGGGATCCAGAAAGGGTTAACGTTGATTACTTAACAACTTAATCCCACTGAATCTCTCTGTAAAAGGTCCACTCTGAGGGATTCAATGTAGTTTTCCCATCAGCAGCAACAAGATCATATGGTGAGTCTTCTGAAAATTCAGTGGGCATGGATTTCCAGTGGAGGCATGGCTCCCAATCAGCCTCCTTAAGCACTCTCAGTATCTCCTGCACCACAATTTTGCTTCCCTCAGCTGCTAAATGGATACCATCACTGCAAAATGCATTAAGGGTGACAACAAATTAGACATATATATTGTTTAGGTAACTTATCAATTGACATCATTGTCATTTACATTTTATGACTGACTGAATGGTTAAGAAAGGCCACAAGCAGATGAAATTTTTTTATCCCAGATGAACTTTGGTTTTAGTATTCAGCATGACTTTTTTAATCGTATTTCATACTCTTTTAAGAGAAAACTTGGATAAAGTTCCAAAAATGTTTTTGGAGTTGCTTTCTAATTAGAATTAAAGTTTTGCTTTGCTAATCTATGCAATAAAATCCGTGTTAAAGGTCAACATAAGTTTTCGAGATGAAACTCCAACGCTGATTAAAAGACGACACCAAAAACATGCGATTACTTTGCTAACTATGCAACATAGGTTTGCATTTAAGTATTGTCCTTTTTTCATTGTGATTAGTTTACCTATCAGAAAACCACGTTCCTACAACCTTTTGGTGTAGCACTGTCTCTTAACACTATTTTGATAAATGGAGTCCAATCAAATGGTGATGACACTATATGTAAAAGCAGTCAAGAGTGCACATAAATTTTAGAGTACAAATCTATTTTAGTCCATGGAAGATTGGGCTGACTTCAGTTTGTCCCCTAACTCCCCAAGAGATATGCGCATCAATGTAGTACCTCAATCGTGGAAGGTAACATAAAAATCATCCTTCTAAGGAAAAACTGCAAGATTTAGGGGCTACATTGATGCCATTTTTCTATTGTTGGGATCTAAATTGATGTTAGTTTACTTAGACGACATGTAATTTCCAACTTCCATGAACTAAATTGATATCACTTATCTATGAGGCCCAAAAACCAAATAAATGTCATCCCAATCTTTCAAGGATCAAAATAGTTTAAGGATATGAAAACCAGTGAAGTGAAAGAGAAAAATATGTTATGTTACAACTTACAAGCTAGTGACTGATGCAGGTCTCAATTAATCACAAGATTGCATCAGTCAATATGCTTTTAATTAATATGGAAGATCTCAGACTTAAACCATCTTGCAAATAAAGTAAGCAGAAGATACTTAAAGAGTTAGGGAAGGATTTGGAATAAGGTAAACAAACTTACGTGAAACAAACATTCATCCAGTCATCTCTCTTCTGTAGTGCAGTAAAAAGATCAACGACTTTGATATCCAGTTCCTTGCACAGCTTAATACAAGCTTCTGAGTAGCTTTGGCACAATTCATTTGTTCTTACCAGCTCACTAAAAATTGTACTGGTTAAGAAAGGGGAATAAAAATCATAAGATTAGAACTTAATGTGTTATCTGAACACATGTACAGAGATGAAAATGTGAAAAAAAGAAAAAAAATCTTCTGGCTACCTAGTGTTTCCACGCACTATTTCCTCATTGACAGGAGGACAACTGAGAACAATGATACGTGTCCTTTCAGAGAGACCCTGACAGTTAATATTATTACATTAAATTACAAAACAGTTTCGTTTTTCAATGCATTTATGATCATCATATTTAAGATCTATTTCCATCAATGTAAAAGTTACAATTTGCTGCCATTCCTCAGGCAAACTAAATTTCATAATTGAATATGCTATTGATTTATGCTAATCTATGTTAATGAGAAATATGTGAGAAACAACCTTGGAGAACCAAGGAAAGGCAAGATATACAAGAATGAGAACCAACAAATCAAGTGTATTTCCTCAAACTTGATATTTTAAAGAAATGGTTTAGCTTCCTATTAACAAAATGAAGTCTTTGGTGCTCCCTGTCTCTGAAAGTGAAGATATATGTATCTAGTGCAAGGCAGAGTGCACTTACAGAGAAAGACCCTGGTGAATAACAGAGAAGAAGTACCTGAATATGAATCAGAATCTTTCTCATGTTTTCAACATATTCATCAAGAGGCACATGAGGGCCTAGGCCAGACGAATGAGGACCCATGGAATCATTACCGCCAAAATAAACTATCACAAGAGAAGGCTGTGTTGCAGCATCCTGGGAAGTGGGATAAAGAAAATTATATATTGTAGGATGGATAATAAGCTACAACAAAGGCATTATTTAAGAAACATTTGAGAGTATAAAGTTAGTGAGATATCCTACTAGGATATCAAAATACAAAGAACCAGAAAAAGAAATTATATCATTTCAAGAAACTGTGATTTAACCAAAAAATCATTTTAAACTACAGGCCACATCAATCAGGCATTGGCTAAAGTGAAAGCGAAGAATAGCTGCACCAAAGGCATCATTTTGGTTCTGCGTTCTACTATGTGAATAGTTGCTTTCGAGGTACAATACCTTTGGGAAAACTTGGTTGAGGACTTGGAGGGCGCGTCTTGAGTTCCATCCATAGTATCCTCGCAACAATATGTCTGCCTACAAGAAGAAATTCTGCATCGTCATAACTTAAAAATTGACTATTCTCCTTAATATTTCATTAGCGAGAGAGGAACAAAACGAAAAAAAGGTTCATGCTAAGGACACGCTCCAACAGAAGATGGTGCATGGCTACATAGGTTTCCTCTTTACTCACACTTATGAAATGTAAATGCCAGGATAAAGTCTTTGCACAGGCATGACAGGCCTCCTACTTTGTAATCATCCAGAATATCTTTTAGGAGACCATTAGGAAGGGTAAATATAAAACTTGAAGGCAAGACCAGGACAAAGACATAGCAGTAACCAAATAGGAAGTCAACCAGAAAGAATTTGCAAATTAAAATAATTGAATAACTTTATGATTTTCTTCTTCAAAATCCTATATAAAAACTAATTAAGATTCAATGTGGATAAATTTTCAATAAGTATTTCAGGGAGAAGAAATAAAATAAATGAAAAAGGTAAAATGAATCAAACTTCGGTTAAAATCAAGTTATGAACTTCAACATTTTTAGAAGCTTCCTCATTTAACTGTTTTCATAAGATGATGCACATAAGTTGATTTTAAGTTATGAAAATTTATTCAAATTCACTTCTATGTTTTGAAAATTATAAACAACTAATGAGACAAAAGTCAAAGATAAGATCTTAGCAATAAATAATTGAGTTACTGCAAATCTTTTAGAATAAATTACCATTTTGATCTCTGAAAGAATGGATTGACATCAATTTGGTCCGACTGACGACACTGTAATCCTTTAAAGAAATTGACATCAACTAAGCTCCTGAATATTAGACAAGGACACGACACAATTTTTTAATCCCCCAATATCATAGTTTGTGCATATAAGAATGATTTTGATGTTGATTTCCGTTATTGAGGGGCCAAATTAATATCACATATTTTCAAGGATCAAAGAACCATACCCAACCTTTCAAGGACCAAAGATGATTTTTTTTTCTTGTCTTAGACTGGGTATCCCCACAAACATAGCTGTGAGACAACCCTTCAAGTGGGTGGTGATAAGGTAAAGCCTTTTCCGTTGAAAAAAACATGTGGTATAGACAAAAAAAAAAACCCCAAGGTGAAAACTTTATGATTCAAGGCCCTAACATGGCACTTAAGGTTCACCTGGACTCGTAGTTCATTTTTTGTAGAAACCAGGAAAAATGAAGCTACAAGGGTCATTGAGACCTCAAATCATGAATGTGTGATGGGAATTATCACAAAAAAATCAAACCAACTTTAAAAATTGAAGAATTGGCGAGCATCTCTAGAGATCAATCCATGAAACCCTCAATGGAAAAGTAAAAGATAGAGAAGAAATCACACATGACGTTGATATCACACAGGGGAGGATACATGATACTAATGGGAAAAATCATCAGGGTAGGAGAAAAAAGACAATTTTTGTGTCTAAAGTTGAAAGACAGAAACGAGTGAGATTAATAGTACCTTGCGAGAGTAGACGTCAGAAAGATGAGAACCCCAACCGCCGTGGCTGAAACTAAGCTGAACAATGGAGGAGCCGAAGAGAACGAAGTGAGGCCTTGCAGGTGCAACCATGTCCCTTCTAGTGTCTCTCTAACACACACACAAACACACGTTATTAGTTGAGGTTAAGAATGAGAGAGAAAGAAGGGTGTAGTAATATATAAGAAGTAACGGACACGATGGAGTGATCCAAAGCTCGTGGAAGGTCGACAATGACCATGATGTATTTGTGGCATACTAAAACAAATTCTTTCGTTGGTTGGTCATCAGTTACCACTTATCAATGATGTTGCCTTAATGCATGGTTTATAATCTCACCCTCCATTGTCCCAGTAATGTCATCACCCAAAAATAAAAATAAAAAACAAAACAAATTAAATCAAAATGAAAAAGTCACCTATGTTCGGTGTTCACACCTCATAATTCCATACACACATATGATGTAGGAAACAATCATTATAAAACTTATTTCTTTTATATATACTAAAGAAGTTGAGACATATGTATCTTTATATTTTATTTAATAAAAATATTTAAAATTATTAATATTTGATAAATTAATTTATATTATATTTAATTTTTTAAATTAAAAAGTCTTAAATTTAAATCTCATTTTTATAAAATGACTAATTTTTAATATTATATTTTATTATTTAAAGATAAAATTATTTTAAAAATAATTTTTTTATTATATATATTATAGATATATCATATGTACACAGAAGTAATCGTCACTTTTAAAGAAATTGTAGGATATCTTTTATAAAGGAAAATGATTCTTAGACACTCATTACAAGATAAAAACACTTTTATAACATTCTTTAATTTTTAATTATTTTTAATAAACTAAAAAATAAAATATTTGCTTGACTAACAAATTTTAGTCATGTAGATGGGTGTCCTAAAGGTGCATCTAAGCAATTAGGTGTCTAAAAAAATATAACTATTTTATAAATTTTAGTATTAAATTTTAGACTAATACATTTAAGTCTTTTATTATATTGGATTTCTTTCTTTCTTTCTTTCTGCTTTTGCATAATTTACTAAAGTATATGTAACTAAGTTAGTCTCTCAATAAACACAGTAAGACAGTGACAAAAGCTAATTAACAATTTCTCATATGTTAGGATACTATTCTAGTAACTTGATGACTGAGAGTGTAGTTTCAAAGGATGAAGTCTAGAACTGAATTTTTTACGTAAATAATATTTTTTTTTTAAATTTATCAAAATAACACCTGTACAACTTTATTTACACAACTAGAACTGTTTACTTTTCACACTCAGAATTCGGTTCCCCGGGAACCGAATTATGAGCTTCAAAATTTTTTTTCTTTTTTTTTTGCTCAGAATTCGGTTCTCGGGGAACCGAATTCTGAGTTGTTTTTTATTTTTTATTTTTTTTTGTGTTTTCTGCTAGTTTGCGCAAGTCTGGGAAGCAGAACGGCTCGTTCCGGAAGCAGAACGGCCCGTTCTGCTTAAACACATAGAATGTTTTTTTTTAAATTGGAACGACCCGTTCTAATGTTAAAAAAAAACACTCCATGTGTTTAAGCAGAACGGGCCGTTCTTCCAGAACGGCCCGTTCCACTTCTCACACTCGCGAAAAATCAGCCATAAACAAAAAAAATAATAAAAAATAACTCAGAATTCGGTTCCCCGGGAACCGAATTCTGAGCACAAAAAAAAGAAAAAAAAAATTGAAGCTCAGAATTCGGTTCCCGGGGAACCGAATTCTGAGTGTGAACAGTAAATGGTTCTAGTTGTGTAAATAAAGTTGCACAGGTGTTATTTTGATAAAAAATTTTAAAAAAAATATTATTTACGTTAAAAATTCGATTGGAACCAAGTTGACGTAAGCTTGGTTCTGGCAACCCCCAACCAGGTCGATTATCTCCATCTATAACTGCGACAGTTGTGAGACTACATAGAAAGAAAAAATGGACAAAAGCAGTTACTGAAGAGAGAAGGGACAAGGCATGTATATATACAGAAAGTATCATAAACATTTCTCAATTTTTTGTAAGTACTCATCCATTTGGGCCAATATCTGAGGAGATCCCGAAGGAAATTGGAGGAAATTATTCACTTAAAAAGTATAATGAAATTAATAAGTGTCTATCATTTGCACCTCAATTTTTAAAAGTATCATAAACATTTCTCAATTTTATTAATAAACAATCTTTAATTGACAGAATTTCCATTAAAAAAAATCTTTAATGAACAGAATTGTGCATGGTTCAGTTTTAAAAAAAAAAAATTAAACCGAGTCACTTCATAAAAATGATTGAGTTTATTTTGCATAAATGATTTGATTTGTTTTAAATAATCAAACCGAAACACTTCATTAAAAATATAGTTTGGTTCAAACTCAATTGTTTTTATTAATCATTGATTTAATTTATTTTAAATGGTCCAATTTTATGGTTCGGGTTATTTTTAAAAATAGTTTTATTTCTTATTTAATTAATTTAAATTGATTGGTAATCATATAATTATTTTATTTGTTGATTTAAATATAAATAATGAAATATCATACTTTTTTTAATTTATTTAAAAATTTCATACTTAAAACTTTTAATTTAACTATTGGATCATTAAAATTTGATGTATAATATAAGTTATTAAATGAAGTGCAACTTACTTTTGGAATAAGTGAATCCATCATCTATATAGAGAGGGAAGAAAGAGAAAAAAGAGGAATTCACTTACTTTAAAAGTAAGTTTACCTACTTACTCTACTCAATAACTTATATTTTATATTAAATTTTAACAATCTAATCATTAAATTAAAAATTCTTAATATATAAATAAAGTCTATAACTTAAAAAAATAATAATATTTGATATTTTGTTTCGTTAATTAAAATTGATGGATAATCATAAAAGTAATACATTGATTTGAATTAATGAAACGAAGTATCAACTAGTTTTTAAATTTTTTAAAAATTTGTAGATTTACTTGAAGTATTAAAAACTTTGAATTCAATAGTTGGATTATTGAAATTTGATGTAGAATATGAGTTATCGAGAGGAGTAAGCCTAAGTAGACTTACTATTGAAATATGTGAATTACAATATAAGTACGATAATCTAGTAATGTAAACTATACATCCCAAGTTGTCGATCAAGCACTACACTATCTATACAAATATACTACCAAAGGATAGTCATCAAAATATCCTATAGGTCTTATGCCACTGGATGACCTCCATAGTTACTCTTCAATCCTATCCCTACCTAAACCCTAAATCACTATGATCACTACAATCCACATCACATGAAAAAACACAAAGTTAAATTAAAGTAAAAAAGAAATAACATAAATACTTCACAAAAACATCACATCTTCATGTCAGCTTTAACGACACTATACATCACAAATCAACACAGTACAACTCTAAATCAACATAACATCATAGATCATCTTAATTCAACACAACATATAAACAACACAATCAATTCAATACATCATATGTTCAACATAGCAACTCATATGCGTCATCACAAATTTTAACCCGGAGATCTCCTATAATACAGGGTAAACAATTTAAGTGGTTTGATTATACCAAATCGAGAACATAGAATGATCTTTTTGGGCTTGCTATATCAACACGAATTGGACATAGATTAATAACACAGCAACTCACTTTCTCGAATGTCGTTACTTAAACAAATAAGTATAGTATTAATGTCAAGATAGAACAACTAGGTACAAATCTACCACGACATTAGCTAACTTAACCAAGTCTTTTATGAGATTAGTCCATCGACTATATTTTTTTATTTTATATCTTTTTATATGTTCATATTAAAAACAAGATAAAAGATTTGCATTTTTATTAAAAAAAAATTTAAAGAGACTAGTGATTATGATCTCAAATGAAATTGTTTTTTTCTTTTAATCTATTTTTTCTTTTGTAAAAAAAATAGATACTTACATTGACAAGATTATTTATTTCTCTCCTTCGTTCATTACTTTTCAAACTTCTATATCATAATTATATAACTTTTATTGTATCGTAGAAATATCATTTTCCTTTAATTATTACCGATGTGATATAGCGTGTTGAGTTAACCTTTTCAAGAGACCCATATCCTGATTCAATAATATCACATGTTATGTTCACAATTAAAATTTGTATTGCGTGTGATTTACTTTTGTAAATAATAAAATGATGAATTAACGACGGGACTTAGATTTATTCAATTAAAAATTAAAAACCTTGATTGAAAAAAAAATTATTGAAAAATTTAAATTTAAATTGTAACACTCTAAATTTTTGTTAATTATTTTTTTAGCAATAATTATATGTGTTGAGGTGTAGTGTTAAAAGATTTTGAGGTTAAGAAATTCTTGAAAAGTCTTTAAGCGTTTTAAAGGATTTCTCTAAAAAATGTCTAATTTGACTACGAGGAAAAAAATATATAAGATATTTTTTTAGAATTGAGTTTCATGAATTCAATTTTTAAGAACCTTAGAGAAAGAAACTCTGAAGTTTTGATCCTTCTTATTTTACTTTCTAGATTTTACAGGTATGTAGGATCATAGTTGATCAACTGAGTTGGTGATTTAAGGCTTGTGAAGTTAAGAATCTATGTTGGTGTGGAGTCTCGGACCTTGACTTCTGTTTCTTTTTCTTCTTTTTCTTCTTCCCCTGATTCACTTCGGATTAGAGGTAATAAAGAGAGTTAGAACTTTGGTTCCTGATTGAGTTATTGGTTTGTATGTTGATTGATTTCATCCAAAATTGTTGTTGTAATGGTATGATTTGAATTGAATGATTTGAGTTAGGATTTATTACTTTGAATCTTGTTGGCCTGAACAATTTCGTGGTTGCATGTTGGATTTTGCTATGAAATGAATTATGGATGAAGCATATGTATATTGTGTGACATTGCATGTTGGTATTTTTTGCTTTTCAGGTGGCTTTGAGCCAAATTTGTGATCTACAAGTGTAGAAATCATAATCGCGTTGAGCATACCTTCATGACATCAAACGTGGTTTCAATCAGAGGTTATTTATCTTACTCATGTGGGGCATAAGATTGGTAACATTAGGTGTGAGAAGAGAGAATTGTCTCGAGTTGAAGTGGTGTTGAACATGGTTTGAATGGCGTTAGACATGAGGTGAGAGAATTAACTCTATCTGGATTAGTATCGGGTGCCAAAGGAGTGGCACTAGGTGAGAGGAAAAAGACTCATCTCTGCCTGGTATGGAGATGCGAGCAAGACTTTGTCACGCTAAGTGTGAGGACATTT